TTAAAAATTTAAATCTATAACATAGTCAATAAATTTAATCAAAATGTATAATAAACATTTCAAAAAGTACATTTAATGTACTAATTAGGACTTACATTTTGGGTGTCACACATAGCCCTAATGGAAACCCTAGGCCTCTTCAAAGGGTTCATTTCCAAATTGATCTCGTGATCTTCCCATCCGCTTTGTGAAGCTTTTCGGCTTTTGCACTCGGACGCGTAATTTTCTTCCGCCTTCGGTTCGTCAAGAAAGCTATCTCGTGAGCGAGACTTGCAGTCGAGACCCAGTTCGAGTTTTCCGAGATTGCTTGGTCGGTCCTTTCCACTTTCTTTAATTTCGTGATTGATATCTATAATTTCCCGCTCGGCGAACGTCGAATCACTGGAAAATCTCCCGAGGCTCAAAGCAATATTGAGGTCATCCGCTTGCTCGTCAGGGCTCGCGGATTTTCGTGGCTGATGGTGAATTTGGTCGAGTCGAGCTGAATGATCGTGGATTTGCATCTTCAGAGAGTCGCAATCTTTCGTCATTTGCGATATTTTAATTTTCAATCGTTCGTTTTCGCGTCTAACGGCGTCTATCTTCACTTGACTCGACTGCATCAAGGTAAAAAATAATTTGATTCAAGACATAATGTATATGGAAAGATGAAAAAAAAAAAAAGGGCTTCAAGAACATGTATAAGCATATATACCTATGAAACATGAATTAAAAGAGAAATTGATGAATACCAAAATATATAAATTACCTCCATTTTTGCTTGAGCTTGGAATTTTTCAACCTTCACAATGCAAAAACTTAATCATCCTTTGTAGCTAGCTAGCTAGCCAGCGTGCCATTTTTATAGCCAAGTCTCATGTTTGACTTAGACAATATATATTTATCTCATGTTTGACTTAGACAATAAATATAACACAATAAATAAATAAAAAAATTAAATATAAATAAAATAAATAATTAAGAGATATTTATCCAGGTTAGTCGACATATTGTAATGCAGACGTACAGAAAAATGTCAACTGCCAAGTGAGTCAACTTTAGCTTCCTATGTATCATCCACTGCACAAGCTTGACATTTATTTGTGTATTATTATTATTATTATTATTATTATTATTTCTATGAATTAGTTAAACTTGTTTCATAATTGCAAGTGGATAATATATTAAGAATTTAAGAAAAGTCAGTCATGATGTTATCCTCCCTATATATAATTCCAGAATGCGCTGAGCCTACGTGGCTGCTTCTGGTGCTTCGGAATCCTATTTGGCGAAGAATCATGCTTCGTAATAAGGTTTGGACAAATAATATTAATATATTAA